AATTGAAATTGTTGGAACTTAATTGAAATTGTTGGAACTTAAATATTTTAATAAAAAATAAAATAATATATTTTATAAATTGAATTTATTGTCCCATTAAGGACTTGATCAAACTAGCCGTTTGAGGTTAATTGTCCCATTTAAGGGCACATTATTTCATAATAATTACTCAATTTATTCCTACCATTAACCTACAAATGAAAATTATAAGACCATGAGTCTTATAAATAGGACATGTCTTTTGCTCAAAAATGTTTTTTCTACACATTCCTCTATTCTTTCTTACCTTACTTTATTTTCTAAATATTTTTGAGTAAAAAAGAGTGTTTTGAGTAAGCTGACTCTATGAGTAGTGCAGATCCATAAAGTGTTATTATAAAGCTGTAGTATCCTGAGGGCAACATGCTTTATGTATCTCTGCTGCACCGGTTTATTTATTCTCCGTAGAAGCGTGAATCGCCTTAAAGTAAATAAACTTTTCACGCTTATTTAGATGATATTTTCTTATTAATATTTCTTGATAAATTCATTAATTATTATTTTATTTGATCTTATGACCGAGGCACAACAATAATATGTGGAGATGGAGGAGAGTGTTCGAGGAACAATAGATGATAAGGAACAATAGATGATAACGAGGCTATATGCAGGATTGGAGAATGTTTTCCCATTTCCATTCGCACCGTATCGAGGATACGAAAATTATTTTGGAAATTTTCGACATGGTAGAATTTATCCCGTCCCAGTACCCAACAAGGAATGGGTCACTGTAGGGACTTCCCGCTTTTTGTAAATTTATATTATAAAATTAATTTAATTATTTTTATTTTCTCATTTTAAAACAAAATATTTTAAAAAGTAGGGTTAAAAACTTAAAGTAAAAAAGGTGCTAGGTTTAGTTTGGTTTAACATAACTAGACCTTATTATTGGATAAAATTAAAAATGAGTAATGACTAAACATATGATTATAAATTAAGATATCTAAATTATATTAGATTTACTATTTTTATTTTAATTTTTTAATATTTCATGAGAACAATAATCCTTTATAAAATTTCATAGGAAAAAAAATACTACTCATTCCTACCTTACAGAGAGAAATATTTCTCCTAACCTTGCTCCCACAGTTAGGATATTGTAGGCTCCACAAAAATCGAGAAAAATCGTCATCGCTAACATTAACCATTAATTTAGAATCAGTTCCTGGGGTAACATTGGTGTAGTTTTCTCTTTATGTCTTCTTCAATCCTAGCTAGTTTTACAAGCGTCAATCAGAAGAGTTGAAGAAGATTGAACAATAATATAACCTGTCTCGAACCACTAATCCCCTAGTATCTCTCAAAATGACTCCAAAAGCAGCTTCCATGCTCACTTGCTTAGTACCAAAGGTCCCCTTACACTTGATATTGTATATAGAACTCACCTTGTGTTCTGAACTCAAAAAAATCAAGTATTCCTGAAATGATTTTCCTTATGAATTTAAGTAAGTCCTAAAAGTGCTCTTCCCTAAGTCAAATCAAAACTAGTAATTAACACTACAAATTATGCAGACATTCTCAAATAGAGATTCAAACTGCGTCTAGATAACAATAGAACTCATACATTTATGAAGACTAGTGCATGACACTCACAATCTGAAGGGAGAGCAATTTTTTCCTGCACATAAAATACATAGGGTGGAAGAAAATCTTGTCATGTCCTGCTAATTTGGCCTGATTTCAATGCCTTCAAT